CGATTGATAATGGTCACGGACGAAATCAAGACAGGAGAAGGAAATCTCACTTCCAGCCACGGGTGCATCTCGTGGTCGGAGTGAAAGTAGAAACAGTCGTTATCCGAAACTTCGCCATCAATTGCAAATTTGGGCCCCCAATTATGTAAATTATTCATGCCGTATACTGAAGATCCTCGAGCTTCGAAGCCCATTGCATCGTTCGGCGCTGTCAGCCACTGTTTTATCAGATTGAATTTCCATTGCACCTTTGTCATAATGGTGACTTGCTCTTGCTGCAAACGGACAACGTCATTTATCATGTCCTTGGAGAAGGTATCCAGGCTATTGATATTTTGAGGCCCAAGGTTTTTTGCAGAGAACAAAACGCCTGCTTCAATTAGCTCTTTTATTTCCAGTTTGTAACCAAGCCCAATCACGTGGCCATAATTCGACTGATCAATGTGCTTGATGATGTAATCTATGCAAATGCCATGCACATCCGTCAGATTGATGTAGTCGGCAAACATCAGAACATTTTCAACATTCTTTTCCGTGAGGTTCACTTTTTGAGTATACAAATATTCAATGCAAATCTTTATCTCATCATTTGAAAAATTAGCAAATTTAGTTTTACCGCAATTTGAATGGAAGCGGAATAAACCTGCGAAGTAATCACATTGTGAAGCAAGAATGAATTTGTGTGATTTAACCTCTGTGTCATCTTTGTCCCGGATGGTAAAGTCATAAAATTGCTCTTCTTTCTTTTTCTTGTGATAGGCTTCTATGTTGTTACAGAAGTTCGTGTGACGAGTTCCTCCTGCCATTCTTGGTGAGAAGGATTTACCCTGAAGCTGAAAAAAACAAACACCACCAAGCACTCGATCAACTCCAATTTAAATGAGGCCAATCTGGACACTTCAACTATCCCAACTGAGGCAAATTTGTTTGCTCACAGTCAATTACCATAGCGACAACTTGTAAAAATTAAACAAGTCAAATTACAACTCACCGCACAAGAAAGAAAAATTGCTTTGAGTCACTCTGAAATACTGAACTGAAACGATTCAAAAACTTTATAGATTCTGAAGACAAGTCTTGGTATGGATTACCTGTTTGGAAATTCTTTGACAGTAGACGTGTATACCTCCTTATTATATGAAGAATAATGCACAACGGTTTCCCTCACCTTCTTTATAAAGCTGTATGACAACCACTATTTTGAGCAAATGGAAACAGTATGTTGCTGCTGTCAGTAATTACAAAAATTGCATCATAAAATTTGTGAGTATCATGAAATAGTTCGCGGATGGTGCAAACGATCACATCTAAATACAGGAAAAAAGAACGATTTTGCATCTGTGACTTTCACTTTCTAGTGATGAGTAGCATAACAACATCAGAACATGACCGACTACAATTTTAACCTTATTCTGTCAGGGCTTGTTGTTATTGTCGCCCATTCTTTTCCCTCTCCCCACCCTCCCACCATTACCCCTTCCTCTTCATAATTTCAAGAATATCGAAGCATTGATAGTGAAAGTTGGAAAGTTAGTTAGTTGCAAAGTTATCTGAAAATCGAAATATCTCACTAGCCTTGATGACGTCATAAGTCGATTGATTTGTCGTGACTTGGATTCCACCGTCATATTTGTTTTTATTTTTTCTACTCGAAAATAGGTAAAATGCGGGCAAGAAAGCTGAGTAAAAATAGGCATTAAGTGAGTAAAATTGTCAGCATGACGTCCTTCGTTGTAAAATTAACGTGATGACACAAAATAGCCGCCATCTTGGATTATTCTAGTCAGGCCGCATCTCGAAACAATGCATTTTGTGACGCCATGACTCACACAGCGACAAAATAGGCTAAGAATAAATGTTGTGACTGTTCGATCGGAGGTAAGCGTCAAGAAAACTCTTGGAGATTCAAGACTTAACAGCTCCGTTTGCTTGTATTATATTTTTGAAAGCTTCAGTTAAATAGTTAGTTAGGGAATGATGGGAAAGCTGAATGTAAAATCTGGTGTAGGGACGTTTCAAATATTAACGATGGAAGCGCGCAGGAGATACGCGCGGGGGAGGGGAGCGGGGGTTGGGATGGAAAAAGGGGGGTGACGACGTCTTTCCTTTCTCTGTCCAATTCGTTGAGCTCCCTTGCAAGTCTCCCGCGGCCGAATCGCAGCCGCGTATAAATTTTAAGGGACGACTGGGGGCGACTCAGGAATGCAGAGGAAACAACATCGTTCCCAAGCCTTTTCCTACACAACCAAAAAACGGCCTAAGAACAAGGCTGGGCTCAAAGGCAACGGTAAGTGCAGGTCGGCGGGTTCACTACGGTACAGAAACGCTTACCTGACTTAGAACCCCGACACCTTTCCGATCCTTTCCGTTTTAAACGGTCACTGGTTGTTATTTCGATTAAAAGGAAACTCAGCTATGCTGTAAAGGCAACTGCAGTTTAACACCGCAATGACTTTAATGCATGCATGCAAAATACAAACCGAAGGTCATGCGTTCCTCTTTCTTATGTCTACGTCTTCTTCCTCTTGCTAAGGTAGCACAAAATCAGTTTCTTAATATGTATACGTTTCGCAATCGTAGCTAATCGTCATTCCCGTTTATTCTATAACCGTTAAGTTGCTTTCAACTGCGTTTCACGTACGTTACACATAAAGTAGCTAACACCAGGAGTATATTCTTTGTGATATCAAGATACCGATACATGTATAGAACTGAGGAATAAAAGATGGATCAAGCATATTTAAGCCACTATATTTTAAAGTCAATACTTCTTTAAGTTTAAGTATTCCCAAAATGTGCAAGCTATTTGATTCCAACGAGAAAATTCCAATACAAGCAATAATCTACGGGTTTGAAACAATATTACATGTAGTCATTGGAATATATTTCTTCTAAAATTGAAGTAATCGCGATAAAGTTTGAAAGAACGTTATTTGGCTCTGGGTGTCCTTTCCTGTTGTAAGCGAGTTAGGACAGGTCGAGCTCGAGAACACGTGATGTAAATAAGCGTTGGAGAGATCATCGAATGTAATCCGATCATTCATTCATTTTCTAGTCCGGATAGGTTTTGTGTCGTCGGCATATCTCTGAAAAGTTATTAGGAGTCTTGTACGGAAAAATTATCTTAAAGTCGGAATAAAGAGCATGTTCATTTTCAACACTGCCTAATGGAACATGTTACTGACTATCTTACATTACCAGATTACATTATTTTCGGCGTAAATAGGGATCTTGCATTTTGAGCTACGCAAGACAACCGGAAGTGATGCCTTGATGTTAACAAAGTGTATCGCTAAGGGACGGACTATTAACAAACTAATCGAGGGGGGCGGGCAAAACACAAAAAAAAAAAATAAGCGTAAGCGTAAACGTAAAGGAAAAAAATTCATGCTCGCCAATTAACCCTAAAAAATATTCATGCTACTGCCTAAAAAAATCATACAAGGAATTAGATAACGAAAGAAAATTCCTACGACTCAAAAATTCCCCACCCCCCACCCCATAACTTTTCTTATAGTCTGTCCCTAAGTGTCTCTATAGAGTCGATTTGTCCGGAAATCTGGATAAAATTACTGGCCAGGAATGCAAAAAGTCCACGTCCGGTTGCCGTACGTTCCTCAAAAACGCCTTTCCTTACAGGCGACGTAATAATGTACGTAATAAGTCAGAAACAAAAATGTGACAAGCGTAAGACGTAGGCGACTGTGTCTCCAATGGTTTGACCACACTTTGATGTCTTGTGTGTAAATATTTGCATAATTTGTGACAATCAAACTTCATTTCAGTTTTTTAAATAAAATGTTTGTATGAGAGGATGTTTACTTAGCTCGTTTTACTTTCCAAAAAAGCGAAACAGTTTAAACTTACGTTCGTTTTGAGTCCTTAATATTGGCGAATCGACTCTTTTCCAAAGACATTTTTCTACATTTAAAAACATTTTTCTATCCTATTCTGGAATTACTCGTTTTGGACTATTCGCTGTCAGTTCCTTATCTCGACACAAAAAATGTACACATTAAGGTATTTATATTAGACATTTTTAAAATCGGTCTTCCCTATTCAGCATCCAGTTTTGAATTTGTTATAGTTTTTGTTTCTTGGAGTGCAGGGAAAGTCCCAGATTTTTCCACATCGGCTAAAGGAACGAAAGGGCGGCCGTCTTCGAAGTAAGTAGTTTGTTTTTAAAAAATAAACTCATCTTAGCTAGCTTACCTTTTTCTATTTTATATCTTACTTGAGATCTTAATTTTCGCACTAAGTTTCCTGAATTGCGAGTGTGTATAACAGACTCTTAAAACTCGACCTCGATTAGTAGGGATCGTTTGTCGCGTGATTTCAAAAGTTCGAAGCAACTCTTTAAAGAGCTCATACAGTCAAATAGTTTTGCCTTTACGAAATGGATTCCCTTATATAGAAAAGCTTATAAATATTCCCAGTTGATACAGCCATGTAACGCAGGGCTTACGTCTATTTTATACATGATAATTGAACTGCGTATTTCTTTCTTTTTATCATGGTATCGTTATCCCACGTCAGGCTTTGATTTCTGATCTTAAAATGCAGAGAGTCCTGAAGCGTTGTTGTACTTTACTGTACTCTTATAGATAGATTTCCTGGTAAGCTCTTGGCAGTGTAACATACATATTATGTCAAAAACATAAATCATTTCCGTTTTTTTTTTTTTCTAATGTCTCTTCACCTTATTGGAAAGCAAAACATTCCCGAATGTCGTTCCTTTTTATAGGGTTAATATTGGTGGAATTAGGTTTTCAGAACGTAAGTGTTATAATACATCTTGGCACCGCTACGTTCGATTACTGGGTTCGTTAACCTTGCACAGCAAAAAGGCTGCGACGCGCCTGTACTTCCTAAAACAGCTAAAGCGCGCTTAAGTTCAACCCAAGGATATGCTGCTTTTCTATACAACATGTATACGCCCTGTATTATAATATGGGTGCCCAGTCTTTCATAATTCTTTGCCGCAATATCTGTCTAATGAAATGGAAAGGTTGCAAAAGCGCGCGTTGCGGATAATACAACCCGACTTATCCTATGCTGAGGCTCTAGTAGCTCTAGACATCACGTCACTGTACGAGAGGAAGAAGACCTTGAGTAATGCTCTATTTGACCAAATTGTAAGGGACCAAAGCCACAAGCTCCATGATCTGCTGCCGCCACGCAACGGGTCCACTTATTGCACCCGTAGCCAGAGATACTTCAAACTACCGATTTGTAAGACAAATAGGTTTAAAAACACTTTCATTATGGCCAACGGTTTTAACTATTAGTAGCTGAATCTTTATTATTAATATTTTGGTGTTGCTACTTCTTTTGTATTTTATTGTAGGTTATATTTTACAGTTTTTATAGTAGTTATCATATATTTATAGATAATTTTTAGTTCCATTGCAAAGTAAGTCATATTTTTAAGATTTACTGTAGCTCTGCCATTGATTTTCCCATGTGTAAATATGATAATATTTTGTTCTAATTATCTAACTGAGGGAGCCCATTCCTTATAAGCCCGGTGGCTTCTCTTGGGCTTCCTCACCATGACAGTTTAAATAACTAGATTTTTTTGCTTTGTAAACTGACTTATGGCAAACAAAACAATAGACAATAAACAATGTTTGTCCAGATTCGCATAGTCTCTTTTAAAGATTGATTTCTTTCTGTTTAATGCAATGCACTCCTTTTTGAAAGTCAAAATTTCGGATTAGAAAATGAAAGAAGACTCATCCGACGAAAACAGGAACTTCGAGAATATTGCACACAAGTTCATCTCATAGCCTCATTGGCCAGAGGGCAAATAAGCGGCGAAGCTCCGAGAACGCAAAGCTTCACCGGGAGCTTCAAATACCATCTTGAGAGAAAAAGAGTACTAAGGCAAGTTACTTACTAGTATAAGGTTTGGTCACTTGAAATCCTAGAGCTTACAGTTATTCTTAATGTGGCCCAGAGTTTTTGCTTTTGTAGGAATCTGTATCATTGAATTTGTGCGTGATCGAATGTTGCGCTTCTCCTAATTTCTGTGTCTCCCACAATTTAATAAGCACGATTGATGTTGGCATTACCGAGTTTCCATAAAATTTGGAAAGTTCACAGTTCCTTTAATATGCATACCTTTTTATGTACACAACCCGTATTTTACTGAAAGTGTACTGCATATGTACACTGTAAAGGTGAGGAGGTAAAGTAAAGTCTATATGTGAAGTATTGGATACCGTCCAATGGCAATATAATACGTATTGGTTAGATAGACCACTGCACCGGTATCGCAGAGGTCAGATTTCGAATCTCGGCAGGCCTGAATTTTTTGTTTTTCTCAGGCTTTCTTTGCGCAGCACCATAAGTTGTGTATTTAACAGCGACGATCTTCTCTACATTTAAACTCGTTAAAGTTGAATACGCGGGCAAAGAAATCTGTCTCGATTTTTTTTTTTTCAAGTCATAACTAAACAATAAAGAAAATGAGCTCGAAAAACGTCTTTCCTAACATGCAGAGTTCATGAGCAGTGGTGCGCTGACAAAGCAAGCCACAAGATCTTCGCGATCAAACAATACCTGGGCATCCAATTCAGATTACAGGGGAACATCGATACAACGAAGGTGTAGGGGACTGAGGCCCTGCCAACAAAACCATCTTGCTCCTATAATAGTATATCAAATATAGATAACACGAAAAGCGATTTACATCTGTTCGTAAATTCTTCATATTTGCAGCATTGCGAGTTTTCACTGATGCTGAGCTTTTCAAGTCCCTGAATGTGGGGCCTGCAGCGTAGATTACAGGTTCTTTCCAGTAAAACTGATGGCAAGGTGTTTGAAAAAATAAATTAAAACGGAAAATAAATAACAGTTTTTTTTGTCTTGTTCAGCAGACGCGTTGAACTCATATTTTAAAAAGAATGTGACATGAAAGACAGATTCTTCCGTTAGTACCTTACAACCTTATCCCCAAACGCGGACTCGCTACCCGTAGAGAGAAAATATTAAGTATACAAATTTGATAACTAACCTGTTTGGTTACGATAGTGGATAAATGTTTCGCTCTATGGAAAACGGAACGCATATCAAACATTAAATACCCTAGGGCTGGGACCCACGCAGGTGCCTTCATGATGTCAATCTTTTGGTAAGTGACAGAACAAAAGATGAAGAAATGAAGTTTCTGATAGGTCAACAAGGGAAACATTAACAGCTTATAGAGTGCCAATAGAGGCTATACAACGCAGTACCGAAGCTTCTTTGGAAAAAACGAGAAAGTGTGAAATAAAAACACATACCAAATGGCTGACAACCGGGCAAAATTATTGTTAACCATATGAAATTTTCTATCGTACAAATCATTTACATTAATTCATTTATGGTTGACTTTTATTACATTTATGGTTAGAGTTACTTTTCATGGTTGATTATTACTTTTATGGTTGACTTTTATTACATTTATGGTTAGAGTTACTTTTCATGGTTGCTTATTACATTTATGGTTGACTTTTATTACACTTATGGTTAGAGTTACTTTTCATGGTTGATTATTACATTTATGGTTGACTTTTATTACATTTATGGTTAGTGTTACTTTTCATGGTTGATTATTACATTTATGGGTGATACAGCAAGCCAGCTGGGAGCTGGTGATTTAATTGGTTCGCAATGTAGCCAGAAAGGTGTATATGAAATATATATATAATGAATATTTAGCAATTATTGAAATGAGGAGGAGTAGGATGTGAAGAATTCTACAGATTGGGGACGAAGTTATCGGCGGAGGTGGATAACATCGTCCAAGATCTTCCGAAAGCCGAATTAAATAATTGCTTTATTAGTCATTTAAACTATTTCTGATTTGTTATAAACAAGCTTACCTTCTCAAAGACTTGCTTCAAAACTTTGGCCTATTTCTCGGCATGGTTTCGCGATATAACATATGTTTTCCTTGCAGATACTCCTTAAAAGTAGACAACATCCCTCCAGCGATACGTTTAACGTATTCTTGCATTTCTTTTGTTCAGTTAGTTAACTATTCAGCTATTTCGCCTTCGGATAGCCGTGAACGCCATTTTCTTTTTATGATTAACTCAAGAACAAAGAGCTAGGCTGCCGCGTCTGAAAAGGAGTTTGAGCACGACTGGGCACGACTAGTCTAAACAAACCCCGTTCAGTTGATACGGACACTGAGGGGGCCATAGAAAGTGCCCGTATATATATGAACTGCTTCGTAACATTTGAATACCTAGTCTGAAATGACGACAATTAGCCGAGTATAGTACAGATATTATAGACAGGCTGTACCAGACGATAGAAAAAAAGGGACCGGTGTCCGCCCGCCGAGTGTCCACTCAAGATTACTAGTAAGATTACTGTGACAGTGGAGGCTATGGAATTTATGTAAACCAATATGACTACCGTAGTTGAAAATATAGTGATTTCCATCAGTACTAATTAATTAGCTAAATGTTCAACGTGGATCGAGTTCTGAAAGGTGTCTAAGAATTTTGACAACCTGCAAGAGTTTTCGGTGTAAAAGTCGTTAGCAACATCAGTTTGTCTGCGTCTTCCTTGGATACGACATCAGCGCGCAAAAGTTGTTCATCCGTTTTTTTGCGTCATGGTAGACCTAAGGTAATTCTTGATTCTTTTTTTGACACTGAAAGACCTTTCACTCGAAGCATTTGTGGCAGGCATAACTAATGTCAGTTTCACTAAAACTGTACATGTTGCAGTCTCACTGAATGAAGCAGGTCCATTTGCATTAAGAAATTTTTTTATGGATGACACAGAGGCTAGGGCACTTTCTCGAGCATACATTTTCACAATAATAAGCTGCGTTTCAAGACGTTCCCTGTTCTTATCTGAACCATAAAATTTTCAAGTTGATACATGGCTAACGTGAGAAATCGTCTCCTGAATCCGTCTTGAGAAGCAAGTTTTTCGAGATTCGTATAATAGATTTTAAGGTGCAACGCAAAGGGGAAAAAGTTAGAGGGCCGAAGGCACTCCAAAGTAGGGGGGTTTGGGGGCATGCTTCCACAGAAAATTTTTACCTAGGGGCTCGTAAATGCTATTTCCTGCGTTATCCACAGGACATTTTAATAAATACGAAAGAAAATGCAAATGGTTAGAATATATTTTACCTATCTCTAATGTTATCGATAAGGTACAATGTTAACGGGAAAAAAAGGTAAAAAGTGACGCCATCGCGGAGATTACAAGCAAAGGACGAGATCAGTAGCCTGCATGACAGCCGTCTCTCCTCATCTTCCCTGCAAAACATCGCTAGTGATGAGGAGCGAGGAGAGACGGCTGTATAGCGCTGGCTAAGGACGAGACAGAGCTTTAAAAAGACTTGAGAGGTTAAAAAATTAGCCCTAACAACATATTTTATAAAATCGAAAGAAGAATTGGGTTGTGTTATTCTCTCAGTATTTTCGACGGTAAAGTGGTGGTCTTCTTTTTTTAACATTTTTCGCCCAAAAAGTGAGGGGCATGGGCCTAAATTCCCCCCTTCCTTCTACTCCTGCGGCCCTAATTGATACCATCGAATCGATGGTATGTTGCTTGCGTCTTCCAAGTATGCTAAGCGCCACTTGGTTATGATGAATTAGCCGGGGGATTGGAGCCAATATTTTGAATGAATAATAAATAGAGGATATTACTTGGCCGCGCGGAGATACGAAATGTCTCTTCGAATGTTGAGAAAAATATTTCACGAGTAAGCATAGCGAATGACTGAAATATTCTCCAGCACAAGAAAAGATATTTCATATCTTTAAGCGGCCATGTAATGTTCTATCTATTTTATAAACACCAATAACAAACCAAACCATTTCGCTTTAATATTTTTTAAGTCCTAGAGAAGAGGAATGTGTCAGAACTAAAAATGGAACGAAGTACACAGTCTTTAAATATAAATTCCTTTTCTTTGCAGTGTAACAAATTAAGAGCTATCCTAAAATAAATATGGCTCATAGAATTTTACATTTCGAAAAAAACCAGCTGTAAGCAAGACTATTTTTAGACATCAAATCCAATGTTGCCCTACATTTATAAGTTCCATTTAAAATAAAGAACAACAAAAAGTTCAATACTAAAAATTAAGGAGCTGGTAAAAACTATGAATAAAAGCACTTCATAAGATGTAATGACAACTATTAGAAACAAAAGTTAGACTGGGTAGGTAAAGATATCAAACTGAGTGGGGAATGAGTCAGGAGTAAGAGAGAACCTGGGTTCGCCGATTTTCAAAGCTTGTGACTGAAGGAGCTGTATTTTCCAGAATTTTTAACAGGACGATGTATGATAGTAAATATTAGGTTACAAACTACTCTGTAAAACCATTTTTTTTTTCATAGATATTCTGCGTTTGCAGATTAAACAAGTATAGAATAGGTCCGGGGGGTTTCCACATATGAAAGGGATGGGGATGCTCGTCAGAAATTTTGAATTAAACCCCTAAAGGAGACCGATCTGGGCGTGGCCCAAGCTTTTTTTGACCCCTAGAAGTGACCATGATAAAACACAGACAATATATATATATTTCTATATTTTTTGGCGTGCAACCTCAAACGAGACCTTCACGGTTAAATGACGTTTTGCCCAGAACACCCTAAGTGAGACCAAAATCCGAAATTTACACCTTTAAGCGAGACGACGAGCATCCCCACCACTTTCATATACGGAGTCCCCCTCCACCGGGAGAATAGGCCACAGAAATGATGGTCCAGCACTTATGATCGTGACTTAACTTACCTCAATAAATCTTACACGAAAGCTTGATTATCTTGCCCAAGAAGTTTAACTGTTCAGTTAAAGAATCGTGTTTCCACTTTCTTACTCTTGAAATATTTTTTTCTCAAGGTCAAGAAAAAAGGGTCATGGACAACATCTCGGAGTTTCTACAGTCCATTCATATTGGTGCAGTCGTTGCAACTTTTCTTTTCAACAATGGACGTATTATAAAAGCGGTGGACATCTTTAACGAATGTTTGGTGCTCCTTAACGGTAAAGCCCTAGAGACAATCAAAGAACTTACCACACCACTTGTTATCTATGTATACCATAAACTTCTTGATGGCTATACTCTTATGCACGATCACACCCGTGCAATAGAATGTGGTAAAAACCTTCACGTGACACTCCACAATAGTGGTCAAAAAGAAGAAGAAGGGATGATATTACTAAAACTATCCGACATCTACTATCAAAGAAGCAAATACCAGGAAGCAAAACAATGTTGCGAAAAGGCACTCGGCATCCTGATTGAGACTGGAAACAATCACGGGGTTGGAATATGTTACGGAAATCTAGGAACTGTGTTCCGATCTGTCGGTCAATATACTAAGGCTGAAGAATACCTTCAAAAAGCACTAGTGATCAGCCAAAAAATCGGTGACAAACAAGAAGAAGCATCTACTTACGGAAATCTAGGAACTGTGTTCCAATCTGTTGGTCAATATACCAAGGCTGAAGAATACCTTCAAAAAGCACTATTGATCCAGAAAGTAATCGGTGACAGAAAAGGAGAAGCATCTACTTATGGAAATCTAGGAGTTGTGTTGCAATCTGTTGGTCAATATGCCAAGGCTGAAGAATACCTTCAAAAAGCACTAGTGATCAGCAAAGAAATCGGTGACAAACAAGGAGAAGCATCTGCTTACGGAAATCTAGGAACTTTGTTCTTCTATGTTGGTCAATATACCAAGGCTGAAGAATACATTCAGAAATCACTAGTGATCAGGAAAAAAATCGGTGGCAAGAAAGGAGAAGCGTCAGGTTACGGGAATCTAGGAGCTGTGTTCCAATCTGTTGGTCAATATACCAAGGCTGAAGAATACTTTCAAAAAGCACTAGTGATCAGCAAAGAAATTGGTGACACACAGGGAGAAGCATCAGATTACGGAAATCTAGGAACTGTGTTTAAATCTCTTGGTCAATATACCAAGGCTGAAGAATGCCTTCAAAAAGCACTAGTGATCATGAAAGAAATCGGTGACAAACAAGGAGAAGCATCTGCTTACGCAAATCTAGGAACTTTGTTCTTATCTGTTGGTCAATATAAAAAGGCTGAAGAATACCTTCAGAAAGCACTAATGATCAAGAAAGAAATCGGTGACATACAAGGAGAAGCATCTACTTACGGAAATCTAGGAACTGTGTTCCAATCTGTTGGTCAATATACCAAGGCTGAAGAATACCTTCAAAAAGCACTAGTGATCAGCAAAGAAATCGGTGACAAAGAAGGAGAAGCATCAGGTTACGGGAATCTAGGAACTGTGTTCCTATCTGTTGGCCAATATACCAAGGCTGAAGAATACCTTAAAAAGGAACTAGTGATCAGGAAAGAAATCGGTGACAAACAAGGAGAAGCATATGCTTACGGACATCTAGGAACTGTGTTTAAATCTGTTGGTCAATATACCAAGGCAGAAGAATACATTCAGAAATCACTAGTGATCAGGAAAAAAATCGGTGGCAAGAAAGGAGAAGCGTCAGGTTACGGAAATCTAGGAACTGTTTTCATATCTGTTGGTCAATATACCAAGGCTGACGATTGCTTCCAAAAAGCACTAGTGATCACGAAAGAAATCGGTGACAAAGAAGGAGAAGCATCAGAGTACGGAAACCTAGGAACTGTGTTCCTATCTGTTGGTCAATATACCAAGGCTGAAGAATACCTTCAGAAAGCACTAGTGATCAGGAAAGAAATCGGTGACAAACAAGGAGAAGCAACTGCTTACGGAAATTTAGGAAATGTGTTTCTTTCTGTTGGTCAATATGCCAAGGCTGAAGAATACGTTCAAAAAGCACTGACGATCTACGAGGAAATCGGAGACAAACGTGGTGTTGGAGCCTCATACTTAAATCTGGGAAAACTTTGTCGAGAATTTCAGCTTAATGCGAAGAGTCAAGAATATGCTAATAAAGCACTTGAGATAAGTTGCGAAATAGGGGACATTGAATTGCAGTTTGACAGCCACCTTAACATCGCTCTGAACGTTTTAGTGGCAAAAGGAAGCATAAATGAACTACGGCTACGGAACTAAATCTGTACGAAAGCATCCAGAAATGCGAAGAAATGCATGATTTTTTAAGAGTGAAAGATCAATTCAAAATTTCTTTTTTTGATCAGCATGTGTTTCCTTACCTTCTTCTTTGTTGGTTGTTGATTGCTACAGGTAAGTATCATGAAGCCCTTTACGTTGCCAAGCTTGGACGGTCCAGAGCACTGACAGACGTACTGTCGGATAAGTACTCTGTAGAAAAAGAGGTATCAGTGAACCCACAGTCATGGATTGGTATTGAAAACATTATGAACAAAAATGCACTTAGTTCTTGTCTTCATGTTTCCTGCTTTAGAGATAATATGTACTTTTGGATCCTCAAGCCAAACAAAATGACCGTTTTTCGACAAACTAGACTCAAAGAAAGTACAGATAAAGTGTTTGGGAATAAGACATTTGGTGGCTCTCCTGATTTACGTCAAGACCAATGCGAAGATCGATCATTGTTTTCATGTGTAAGCTCCCGCCATCATGCAAACCATCTCAGAGTGACAGCTTCGAATCTTTGCGTCTTATAGAAGAAGAGGAAGACGAAAATCACGACTCTAAACCTTTAACCCTTGCTGATGGTTACAACATGATAGTCGCTCCTGTAGCTGACTTACTCCAAGAATCAGAAATCATTATTGTACCGGATAACTTGTTGTATCCAATTCCTTTTGCTGCTTTAATGGATGATAATGGAAAGTATTTATCGGATACTTTCAGGATTCGTATTGTCCCCTCCTTGACGACTCTTAAGTTGATTCAGCTCAGTCCAGAAGACTACCATAGTAAAACCGGTGCACTGATCGTAGGAGAGCCAGACGTTAGTGATGTATATTACCAAGGAAACCTTCTGCAGTTAAACTCACTGCCTTGGGCGAGAGAAGAAGCAGAGATGATTGGGCGACTGTTCGGTGTTCAACCGTTGCTTGGAAGGAATGCAACTAAGCAGGCAGTCTTGAAAAGCATGCATTCAGTAAGTCTCATTCACTTCGCTGCTCATGGTTATGCCGAACGTGGAGAAATAGCTCTTTCCCCTGTAAGCTCCTGCGGAACTCCACACGAAGAAGACTACTTATTGACGATGGCTGAAATTTCACAAGTTCGACTAACAGCCAAGCTGGTTGTCCCTAGCTGCTGTCATAGTGCACGTGGTCAGGTAAGGGCTGAGGGAATTGTTGGAATCGCTCGAGCATTTCTAGCATCGGGTGCACGCGCGGTGTTGAGGGCACTGTGGGCTGTAGAGGATGAAGCTACTATGTGGTTTATGAATCGTTTTTACGAGCACCTTGTTCATGGTGAAAGTGCCAGTGAATCTCTTCACCAGGCCATGAAGTCGATGAGAGGGAATCGCTTTTCTGACGTCATACAGTGGGCACCCTTTATGCTGATTGGAGATGATGTGACATTCAAAGGTTTGTATTTGATATTTATAATTTTTAGGTTTTTCTAGCTATTTGTATAGTCAAAATGTGTGAAGTTTATGTTCGTGACAACTCGTTATTTTGAGAAATAAGTTTTGTTAGTTTCTTTCTTTATTGTTTTTTTCTAACCCTGTTCAAGACTTGTGAGGCAACTGGAAAGAAGGCCGTTTCTTCCGATTTTCATGGAATATTTCGTAAAGCATCGGATCTAAAATAACTAACTAAAATGAAAATTGTAAAAAACGGTAGTTGAGCTTCCAAGGAGCATAAGAAAACAATTAAAGTCAGAAAAGACTTTTTCTTAATGGTGTACCTGATGAAAGAAAAAACGTCGCCTCTTACAGCTTCCGAGATAGTCGGTCCTCGAAATTGAGAAAGCGAGAACAGGAAAATAAAAGGGCCCCCCTTTTCTCAGATTCAGGCGCCCATATTTTTGTACGCCTTTCACCGCGTCATCCCTACTATCTGAGAGCCTGGAACAGGCTATAAAAAACGCTGTATCTATTTTTTAGTCTTAAACCAGATTAATCCTGAGGGAACCAGATCCAGCTCAGAGCAGGGCATACGTACTGATAATTATTACCGGTGAGCGAGAGTTTAAAAGCAGACGCAAAGATTCCCTCAGCCCAAGCAGCTGCAGGAGCATTTTCCCTCTTGCCCAAGCAGCTGCAGGAGCTGCAGCAGCTGCAGGAGCATTTTATTTTGAAACTTCTCTTTTATACAGATATTTTTCTGGAAAATGAGCTAAGGGCAACTTCCTTGTCGTTTTCGTGTGTTTTTTAAACGAGGTTCAGTTTTGTCATCAATCGCCTCTTTTATGATGGTTGTTTCGCGGAGAAGTCGCAAGACTTAATATTTCCCCAAGACAGTATTTCATTCGATTCAATTGGGTTTTACAATACGTTTCGCTTTAGTTCTCTTCGTAGTCGCGATTTTGTAACAGAGGAGATGGTTGATATTTTGGGCAACCATTGCACGGGCTGTAAGGGATAGCATGGTTGGCTTGATATCAACCTCCTGCCTCAAGATATAATCTGATCTGTATGCAAACAGAAAACGGAGGAAATTAAAATAAAGTAAAATATTCCCACTGCATACATTATTGGCCCGTGACGCGGGAATTTAGTAACTCCGTAAATTCCGTCGTTTTGGGCCTGCGCGCTGGTGGCATGATTCATTGCGGCCCTTGGTTAGATTTGCTTATTTTTTGCCCGCCTCTTGGCTAGTTCAACGCAGGTCAGTGGAAATGACTTAGAAATTTCGCCCCTCCCACCCCCCCTGGTGGCGGTTGACGTCGCTAACCCTCATTATTCGGCACGCCTATTGTCCTGGCAGTCGCGGTTGCCTCCCATAACTTAGTTCCCCCGTGTCGGAACAATAGGTATGCAGTGCGAAATTCATACAAATCGCATTTAAGCTGAAAATGATACAATACGACTTTACTAAACTTTTAGCATATAACTAATTTCCTCACAGTGTAAAGGTTTGCTATTTGTTTGACTTTGAATGTGTTAGAGATATTAAGGTAAAACATTTAGCGCAACGAGCAACAGAAGCATGTTGATCGATGGCTAAAATAAATCGTGCAGAGAATGCATACGAAAGGGAACCGTCACCATTAGTTTTTCTATTTGCAGGTACATTTGATAAGAGCAGTTTGAAAGATGGCGAAGGTGCAACGGAAACAAAGATCTTGTAAACTGAGAGGAAACATGTCGTTTAAGTTGGCAACTAATGTCACAGCTGTACATAAATGTATATACCACGGATCTCAATGAAGTAGTCTTGTTTGAGACCCGTAAAGAGAACAGGTGATAATTGTACTTTTTAAAGCAGGCACAATTTTGATACGTTACGGGTGAAGGTGAAGCATGAGCTGAACGTGGAACACAAGGAAAGGGGGCAGGGATAGGCATGACCAGTAAGTCGTCCTCAAAGTGGAGACGTTAAAGTTGTACAGACCTTCTGAACCTACGTGTACTATATTAGTCAGGACTTCTTTCGTTCAACGTGACCTCTGCTACTCGTTAATCCTGTGCCTACGCTTGCTTCAAATAAGCTAAATCACTTACATGTCGCACATGAACACGAGTATTGCTTTGGTTTGATAAACTTTGTAAAGGAACTGAACTTGACGAACGTGATGAAGTGCCGCATAGATATCTAAGCTAAGAAAAGCCGGTCCAAGTGTTCTCTGGATTTAATTAAGTGCTCTTTGCGAGGGGCACCCAACGACGGTTTCCTCCTAAATACATTGAAGACACGTTTTAGGCAATCCAGAATAGAAAATTCTAAGCCAATCTTTTCATAACAGATATTTTGCAGAAAATCGTTCTTGGGTGCCCCTGCTTTGCGCCAATACGATACTTACAGAAGATCATTCCCACCCCAATGTTTTATTGATTACTGTAGTGACAGTGTTTAGCGGAAAGTTGTAAAGCAATTCAGCATTATGGCGAGTCTTAGAGGACAGCAAACAAATTTAATGAAAAAACATGTTTGTGTCCTCTAAGACTCGCTATCGTGCTGAATTTTCATATATTGAAAGACCCCCATTAGTGACTGACAAGACTTAATAAATCAGGCGATGTACGAAATTGTATTCTCCCGTTTTAAATGGGGCGTTTTTCAATCCTCTGCTCTGCCCTGTCATTCCCGCTAGGGCTGATTTTTAATTTTTCAAACGCAAAACTGAAACAAATGAATGGGTGGTTGCTCACTAGAATTTAGAAGCAGGGCTTTATTTCGAGTTGGTCCTCTTACAGCATTATGAGCCCGGTTCCTGAAACGGTCGTGAGATCTTTAGAATGTCGGCAAATTCTAAACTCTTTTCGAAGTATGTCATTATTGTTTTTTCTGGTATCCTTAGAAATGAGCTTGCCTATCAATCATTACAGCGTATTTGTGTTATTTGTTAACTCATTCCCATTAGAATTTTACCCCTCTGACCACAGTTCTGTTATAAATAGGGACGTTTAGCTGTTTTCTGAGCTAAAGTGCTCCTCATCAAGTATAACTAACTCTGTTTAAGAGAAGAGGCTACTTAGTGAATAGGGTTAGGAGCTTAACCCAAAGCTTTCTTTCAATAGTGTACAAAAGTCGGTTAAAAGGCGTTTTAAATTTAAACCCTATGCAAATTAAACCGGAAGAATTTCACTGGTTAGATTGCCTTACTACCACTGAGGTATGAAAGACTCCTCTTGCCGGGCTTGGTCATACAACTATGTCCTTAAGAATGTCAACTGTGCTATCCTATTACAGGTTCAGTGATAGGAGTAAATGATTATTACATAATCTGCATAATATCAAAAGAAGCAAATTTCTGCCACGGTTTTCTCATACACACATCAGTCTTGCTGTATGGCGTATCGCTCCACTTGTTTCTATAGATGTCCTAGAAGATCTTGATCATAGGTGCAAATCGCGTTTCTTAGTTTTTCATTATTATAGCATAACTTAAAAAAAAGTATGTGGCTGAGAAGCTACTTGTACTTTTTAGCAGGAAGTAAACTTTTCATTCCGTATTTATTGGACTGATGCTTTTATATATAATTATATTTCAGTTTTACAGGAAGGATTTTTTACTTTTACTGTTGGTAACTAAGGTTCGATTATTTGAAAAGTCGCCAGTCCATATACGGATTGCGTCAAGTGAAAAAACTTAGATGTGAAATGAACTTTCTATATTATCCTTACAAAAGCATTTTTATCATGAGGACTGTTTCTGCACTTGGCGTCATTTTAAAAGCAAGGGTTTTTGAAAGTTGGTAAAGGCCTAGTAAAGGCCTATTGACAGCCTGAGTATCAGGGGTTTCTGGAGGAAAAAGGAGAAAAGAGAAGTGAAAATCTCCTCTCTCGTAATCCTTCAGAAAAGCCTGATACTCGGACTAGCCTATTAAAGGACCAGTGTATAAGTGTCACATTTTGGAGCTGATATTTTCAATAATGAAACCGTAGTTTAACCCGTCCAATCTTTGTTCAAATAGCCGGCCCTAAAGTTTTAATGTCTACACTTTTAGCTCGTACCCAGATTACACTCTGACTTTGCATGAATGCGCCTTTCACAGAGACGAACCTGAACGAGTCCACCGATCAAGGAGCGCTTGTTGCGTGTTATTCATGCTTGCGTACTACGAAAGCGCCTGTTTGAACGTCTAAGAAACTGACTGAAACAACCACAAACTTTCCAATTTGTTTCAGTCTGGCCTTTTTTTCATATAAATAGTCAGAGTTAGAGTTTTCCTGGTTGCTTTATTGTTTGGTTGAATTCTTCTTTTGTTGTACTTAATCCGTGCCTTGGTACCCACGAAAGCAACATTTTTAGAGGGGGTACCCATACTGCCCATATCCCTATGACGCTTTGTCTCACCATCGTATTGCGGAGGAAGTCATGACTCGGTTGGTATTTTGCCATTATAAAGCTTGGACAGTACGACTCGATCCGATATAGCTCCTAAGTGACGGTAATCCAAGCCAATTCTGCTCCGATCGAGACTTTTGGCGGACATAGCGTTTTTGTTTCGTCGAATTTAGGAAAAGTCCGGGATTTTTTTTCAATTGCGCTTTCATCGCACTAGTTAAAAGGCATAGAAGCCTTTCGAGGTTTGACGTTTGGATTATGCTGCTTTTAGTCGTCATTTAATACTCACCAGAAACAAAACGAGTACAGAAATTAAAGTCCTTAACACCCTGAGCGCTGCAGACATTGAGGTAGGTATTTTTCATATAGCCAGCTTTTGTCTATGGCTTAACGTTACTTTTTCAGGGACGAGCTCTCAATTATTTTTCATATGATGTGGCCAAATAGATTGATTGCTGGCGTAAACAGTTAAGAAGTCATTACGCAGCAAGAACGATAAAACGCTTGTTTTCACGGTTCACAGGATACCAGTCTAGAGGTACGACAAGCTTTGATTCAGGAGTTACCATTTGAACACCAAAGAGAATTTCATTTTGGTTGTATGATCCCCTTCGGGGTAGAATTAGGTGATCCGATCATAGCTATGTAATTGTCGGTAGGCCAAGTACATTCGGCCTCGACGAGAGTTTGTGAATAACGCCCAGCTATCAGTCACTGATCAGTGACATGGTTAGGGACAAAGTGGTTTTGTTTCTGGCAGGAAAAGCCCCGGACAGATTTGTATAATATGTCACAAACAGACTTCATTTCAGTTTATTCAATAATTAAAAATGTTTGTATGCGAGGATGGTAGTTATTTTTTCTTTGTAAAAAATCTAAACAGTTTAAACTTTCGTTCGTTCGGTGCGTCCTTAATATTGGCGAAATGCCTCTTTTCCAAAGAAAGATTTTGCTAAGATTGTTTTGACTAGTTTGAGACAAATAATGTAAACTTGCCTCATTTAAACTGGCTAATTTGGTTTTCAGTGAGGTGAATACAAACTTCACATCATCATTTTATTAAATAAACTAGACCCTGCTAAGCTGCATGTTGATATGTTCCAATTCATATCTGTTGGTGGATCATGTAGTTTTTTGCATCTTGGTACCGTTGAGGAGAGATATCATAAAGAGAAAAGATCATTTTTTATTCAAGCACCGACAGTTTTAAGACCCGGAAAATGGACAAAATTTCGGTTGATTATATTATACAGATGTATGCTGCAGATGCTATTGGAATGACTCGTTTTGGACTATTCGTTATCGGTGCCTTATCTCGACACCAAAATTTGTACAAATTAAGGTGTTTATATTAGGCATTTTGACCGGAAATCGGTTCTAACTACATGTATTCGGCATCCAGTTTTGAATTTGTTATGTTGATAACAAATTCAAAACTATTAAAATAGCTTTTGTTTCTTGGAATGTAGGGAAAGTCCCAAATTTTTCCGCATCCCGCTTAAGGCACGAAATTGCGGCTGACTTCGAGGTAAGTAGTTTGGTTTATAAAAAATCAGCTAATCTTAGCTTACCTTTTTCTATTTCATATATCTTACTTGAGATTTTAATTTCGCACTAAGTTCCTGAATTGCGAATGTGTTTAATAGACTCATAACGACTCTACCTCGATTGGTATGGTCGTGTGATTTCAAAAGTTCGAAGCAACTCTTTGACGAGCTCATTCAATCAAATCGTTTTGCCTTTATGAAATGGAATCTCGTACATGGAAAAGATTATAACATTCCCAGTTGATACAGACATGAAACGTTGGGCAGGTATTGAAATTAAGAAAAAAGCCTTACGTCTTTTCACGCATGTTAATTGACCTGCGTATTCCTTTCTTGGTATGGTTATCGTACGAAGCTACTTCACTGTTCTCTTGGAGATAGATTCCCTAGTAAGCTCAGTGGTAGTGTAGCATACATATTATGTAACAAACCTAAATCATTTCCGTCGGTTTTTCCAAACGTTTGTATTGGAGCATGTCAGTCCTCTTCACTTTCTTGGAAAGCAAATAAACATGCAGTTCAAAATATCGTTCGTTTTGCAGGGTTAATATTGGTGGAATTAGGTTCTCAGAGCGTATTACTAAGTGTTATATAAATACATCTTGGCACCGCTACATTTGATTGCTGGGTTCGTTGACCTTGCAGAGCAAAACAGCCGTTCATCGAGGAGTCAGGCGCCACAAACTTCCTCGGAAGAAGGTGAGTTAAGTTTGACTTCCCCTTAATACCAAGAAAAATTTCCAATATTCGCTTGTGGTCAATAAATCCCAGCTATAATTCTCATGTGCGCGC